GAACTCCAAAGGTGGCGGCTGTGGCAACAACCTTGACAGCAGCGACAGTGACTACGGAGACAATGAGACCAGCGATGATGAAGATAATGATGGCAACGAAGGTGACAATGAAGGCAGTGATGATGACGGCAATGAAGGTGACAATGAAGGCAGTGATGATGATGACAGAGACATTGATTACTATGAGAATGCCATTGCAGAGCCTCAGAAGAATCAGCTTAAAATCAGCAACCTGGGCTACTACGAGGATGAGGTAGAGAACATCTTTGAAGAAGAATCATCAATGGAGGAGGAAGATGAGGAGGGCAGTGAGGAAGGTGAGATGGACCCCCTCTTGTCCTCCCTCCTTTCTCTTCCCTCAGGGAAAAGCTGGCCAGGATCAGGGAATGGAGACATGAGCACAATCTGCCCTGTGGTGAAAAGAAAAAAGCATCTGTGCAACTTGCAAAACAAATCAAGGCCAGGAACATTTAACTTACAAATGTAACAAAACCAAAGAAATACATTTCAGTTCTAGCTGATGGGTAGATAGGTTGCAACAGCAAAATACAAAGAGGAGGGAAGATACAGGAGAGAGTCGGTGCGAAATTAAGGACTGGCTGAGAGAGAGAGAGAGAAAGAGAGAGAGAGAGAAATAAAGCAGCAAACACATTATAATTCAGTACACTTTGTACCCAGCCCTAGCCTTCTGGGAACTCCCAGTCCTGTTCGGGGAGCTGGGGGCAAAGTGAACATTATGCTCTGTGAGCCCAGAGGAGGTTGTGCTCTGTGAGCCCAGAGGAGGGAACAGCTAATTGTACCTCAAGAATGAGGAAGGGGAGAACTAGATAGAGGAACTGACATTTGAATTGGAGGCTGCATTCGTCTTAAGGGGTGTTATGGGGCATTCTCAGTAGAAGGGATCACATGAACAAGGACCTGGAAGGGTGAAAATGCATATGTTGGGCACAGTTTCCCAAATTGTCTTCTGAGGACCCTTCACCAGTTCTGAAAGCTGCTTCTCACAAAAAGGTTCAGTGGTTGCATATGTCGGGGAAAATACTGCATACATGAATATCTTCATGTAGTCACATGTACATTAACACCTTAAAGGCTCTGAGAAGTCCTGCTGTAAGAAACCTATTTAAACTTCATAGAACCCAGCATTTTTCAAGCTTCTTGACCACAGAAGCCATTTTTTCTCACCAAAGAATGCCTTTTGAGAAATGGGTATGGGGTTTGAGGGAAAAGATGGTATTTCAGGTGACTCCCAGGTTTGGCCCTGGCCTTGAATGACTGGAGAAGTGAACCATTTCCTGGGAAGGGAAAGGGCATGGTGGTGAGATTGATGGGATGCAGGGGGAAACACAGAGTTGGAAGGGTTGTTGGACATAAGGCAGGCCTCTGGGGGAAGACCAACCACTCCTGAGAGTTTTGACCTCGCAGTCAAAAAGTTCCATTGAGGGCAGGGGACCAAGGAAGGAGGCATTGAGTGAGTGAGTACACTCAATCTCGACATTTTCAGCTTGACTAGGGAAATTGAGAGAGTTGCTGGCCCCATTCCCTCCCACCGAATAACACCTGTTCTTTTGGAGGAGAAGAGGCAGCGCTATCTGCCCAGCCCTAGGGTGGGAGTGGGAGTGGGGGTGGGGGTTGGGCTGAAGAAGACAGACAGGGCCTGTTTGCATCAGACTATGGAGAAGGAGTGAGGGAGCTGCCTGGGGATGAATAGGTTTATTCAGCTGAGATCGCAGCTCAGGAAGAGACACACATTGTTACATACAGGAGGAGAAGAAGCTGCTTTCAGATATGTATCCATTTTGATAGGACAGAGGCAAGGAGCCCACCCTACCTTCCTGTTTCTTTCCCCCCCACACACACTTGGCTGCTTGCTCCAAGCAGAGGTGCTTGGCAAGTGGTCTCTGGCCCCCAACCGCCCTAGTTAGGGGCTGTGTTCCATTAGGAGTGACATGTACTTGCCCATCTAACCACCCTCCTCCATTTTCTGTTTTTTTCCTCTTTCCCCTGTGCTGCCAGAAGATGAGGACAGCGATGATGAGGAAGGAAGTGAGGAGGAGGAGGAGGAAGATGAGGAGGAGGAAGGAATCGAAGAAGACTGGGAAGACTCTGACGTGGAGGAGGTGCTTCAGGTCCAGAACGCTTGGGCCAACCCCCGGAAGAGGGGCAAAACCGGATAAACAAACGTTTCACCCTTGCCCTTGTGGCTACTGCCTCTGTGTCCCTCTCCCTCTGTCCCATTTGCCCTCCCCCTCAGCTAGGGCCTTGAGGCCCCACATTGCACTTCTGGGGGGTGACCAACTTCGTACACGGGTTTGAAGTTTATTTTTATGGTTTAGTAATTGCAGAGTTCTTATTTTGGGGGGAGGGAAAGGGGGACCCCCCCTTCTTTCGGCCCTCCTCCCTCGCAGGCTTCTGTGTGCTGCTACGTATTTATTGTGATGCCTTGGCCACGGCCCCTCTATCCCCCTCCTCGTGCTGTTTGGAGTGAACACCCCTGATCCCGAAGCGGGGAGGGCTGCTGTGGCCTTGGGAGAGCTGCTGCCTCCCAGTTGTCCTAAGTCTCTCTCTTCCCCTCACTTTTCCACCTGCTGTGCCCGCTAGCCCGCATCGGTGTCTATGCAAGGCCGCTTCGCCATTGCGGTATTCCTGTCCCCCACCCCCCAGAAGCCCTGTTCATTCCCTGTGAACCCTGGTAATCCTAATAAAATTCCCAGCAAGTTCAAAGTGCTGCTTTGAGTCTTTTGTTCCGCCCGGTGCCCAGTTCCCAGCAGCAGCAGCAGTTCCCCTTGCTATAGGCCTATCTACGCCACTGGCCTGCAAGATGGTAGTTGCGAGTTGTTAGGGTGGGGGGATTTGGCGGGCAGGGGGTCGATCTCTGCGGGACTGCAGAGCTGTGGCGTCAGGCCAATGCGGACCATCCTGACCAATGGCAAGACAAGGGTGAGGAAGCCCCTCCCTCTCCTGGCTGCTGCAGTGGCCTCAGCCAGGTATCAAACAGCTTCCCACGCCTTCCCCTCGCGCATGCGCGCAGAAAAGCTCTGCGCCCTAGAACATCCATTTATTCAGTGATTCATCTTTTAATTTATCTTGCGTCAAACCTTTCTTCGGGCCTAGTGTGAGCTGAGCGGGGGCGGAATGAGCCAGAGGAATCCATTTTTCTCGCATGTAGTAGAAAAAACATCAGTTGGATAATGCAGGGGTGCTCTCTCGTCTTAGGGAGGGGTTGCAGAGTCCCTGGCGCTGGGTCTGGGAGAGAAGGCAAGAAAAGATGGCTCAGGTCGAGGAGTTTGCAAAGCAAAGGGAAATTACTATGTAGCTGTGTGATTGAGGGCAGGAGGAGTCGTGAGTTGGGAGTCTGAAAGGTGGGCTCTATCTGGGAGATGTTTCAAATTTTGAATACAGTAATTTTATTTCAAGAGACATCGGCAATAACACCCAGACTCTTTCTGGATCATAATGGCAACCAATGTAGTCATCAGGGTCAGTGTTCTGCAAGATACCTCTAGAACTTTCCATCCAACGCCCTTATTTTGCTGGAAGGATTCAGATTTGTGTTTTAGAGAATGCCCTCTGCTGGCTGCCAGCAGAATGGATTGGAGGAAGGGAGAGCAGTGAACAAAGCTATACCTTAAGTTGAGAGGTGTGATGGGGTGGATATAGGTTTTTGAAATTTATTTTCAAAATCTTCGATTTACAGAATTATTGCTAAGATAATACGGAGAGTTCCCATATACCCTACAGCCAGTTTCTGCTAGTGTTAACATCTCACATTGGTATGGTACATCTGTCACAATTAATAAACCAGTATTAATACTGTATTGTTAACTAAAGTCCATACTTAATTCATATATTATTAGTTTTCACCTAATTTCCCTTGTCTGTTCCAGGATGCCACCTTACATTTAGTCATCATGTCCCTGTAGGCTCCTATTGGCTGTGACAGTTTCTCAGACTTTCCTTGTTTTTAATGGCCTGGAGTCATCAACATTTGAGGAGTACTGGTCAGGTATTTTGTATAATTTTCTCAATTAGGATTTGTCTGATATTTTCTTCATGATTAGAGTGGGGTTGTGGGGTTGGGGAAGGAAGACCACAAAAATAAAGTCCTGTTCTCATTGCATCATATCAAGGGTGTGTGCTATCAATATGCCTTATTACTGTCCATGCTAACATTGCTGTCATAGCTGAGGTAGTGTATGTCAGGTCTCTATGCTGTAAAATTACTCCTCCCCCTTTCCACACTGCTTTGGAAGGAAGCCACTAAGTGTAGCTCATGCTTAAGGAGTGGAGGGTTATGCTCCATCTCCTTGAGGGCGAAGTGTCTACATAAACTAATTGGCATTGTCCCACACTAGAAACGTATCTGTTCTATGAGAGCTTTTAAGATGCTGGAACTGACAGGCTTTATTTTTTCCATTTTAAACAAAAAGTTTATTTAAACAACAAGATGCTGGGCATGAAGGGGAAACTATCTAGGATTCATTTCTTTTAGAGTAATTTACCTCTACTTAAAGACAGATTGCCCTACATGTAACAGCTGTGTATAAAAAAGTTATAAAAACTGTCCTTGGGTTTACAATGATAAATGAAAAACATTAAAATTCTCCAATTGAATGAGGTATGCAAGGACTTTTATGTTGTTGTTGTTTTTAAACAGTGAGAAGTAAAATAACTTACTTAAATAGGAGATAAGAGCTGAATGAGCTTCCACTGAAGAAAGGGGGTATTTTCACTGAACCAGTCTTTTTCCCCATCTCATCTCCATTTGATGTCAATCAAAACATACCATTGGCCATTTAGTTTAAAACATGCAAATGCTTGTGCACATACATCAGTTAATTTATGTACAATAAAGGAGCAGGGAAGGGGAAAATGAAAGAACAGAGAAAACTGTACTGTAATAGTCAGGATGCAGTGGATCCAAATTGCAGTTTTCTAACTGAGAATGTCTTCTTGGTCTGGAGGAACAGAGTTCTGGAGTAAATAGCAGGTTCCCTTTTTTAGCAAACACCTCCTGTCTGCTGCTGGAACACATCAGTTGTATCTTCATCCACCATTTCCAACTGTGCAGGTGTGTCTGTATCATTGATTGGCTGCCCATCAAATTGGAATCTGATCTGCCTCATTGACAAACCCTGTCGTTCACAATAGGCTTTCATTAGTTTACTAAGTGTGTATGTCTCTTAATCTTAAACCACAGAACCATCCTACCCCACCACCTTCAAATTAATATGACCATTGTTCTCAGTCTTGACTCCTTCCTTGGGCTTTTTGTCAGTCATGGTGAGCACTGGAGTCTTCTCAGCTGCAGCTTCACAAAAGAGGTACCAGGTCCACACCAGATGAGTACACAAGCAGCACCAGGAGTGGCAGAAACTGACAGGCTTTAGAGATGGGAAAAGAAGGATTGAGAGAAGTCAAGGATGACTACCAGGTTGCTGTGGAACCTTTAGCAAGGCCCCTTCCTCTCTGGGCCTCTTCTATGAAATGGTTGGAACACCAGATCTTGAACATAATCCATGATTCTGATAAATATTTTGGGAAGAGCATGGGGGCTTGGATGCCTCTAGTTCTGACCTGGGACTACACTGTCAGAAGTGGGGAGGGGAAACTCTGACCCAGAAAAGGGAACATCTTGCCTCAGGGCCAGAGCTGAGAGTGTAGGATCCTGAGTCAAGACCAAGACTATATTTTAGAGTTGGATGTGGCCTTAAAGACCTTCTAGAACAGTCCATTTTTTTTGTGCACGGGGAAGAGACAACTATGTGCAATATCTGCAGCCAGTCCCAATGAGCAGGTGGTGAAGTGAAGGGGAGGAGAAAGCAGCAGGGGCAAAGGCCTGGAGTGGGCCAGGAAGAGGTCAGCCTGGCAAGAAGATCCCAGCCAGTCTGAGAGATAGATGGCCTGGGTACCCTTGCCTCAATCTGCTCTGCCTCACAACATGACTCCCTCGCCCTCTGTAGAGGGCCTCAGTTTTCCCATCTGCAAGTTTAGGCATCAGCCCAGAAGAAGTAACCTGCCTAAGTTCTCCAGATGGAATCCAGCCCCAAAGTAGACCTCTGAAGCCTCGCCTTCATCATATTCTTCCCTGATTCCTCTCTGTCTTCCTAATCAAATCCGTAGGCTCTCATCTTGGAATTTGAGGCTGCGCTTCACCCACTCTGTCAGAGAGGGCCTCTGGTTTCAGGGGCACTATTAGGAGCCAAGTATGGGATTCTAATGTACTTAGCCAGGGTGCTCATGCCCTGGCCTGAGGCATGGGAGGAGAGGATGTTCTTTGCCTAGAGTGACATCTTGTTGTTCCTTGTGCCCTCACTCCTTGGTGTATGGTATGGCTTCAGGTCCTGCCCAATCTCGGCCTCCAAAACGAATGGACTGTTCTAGAAGGTCTTTAAGGCCACATCCAACTCCAAAGTATAGTCTTTGCTGAAGACCAGAAAATACAGGCCCCATTTGCTGGGACCCTAAACAGAAACCAGGAGGAGAAGGAGGAGTTGTGGACCCAATGTACCCCAGGGCCTGTTCCCATGCTGAAGCTAATTGTCTTTGTGTCCTTCACAGCTCACCCCATTCCTCTGCAGCTGAGGGCCCTGCTCCTGGGCGTGAAGTCCCCAGAATGTCCTGGGGCCAGACCTTTAAAATGCCACTCACTGCTGTGAGCCAAAGATTGGCAAAATTTAACCAAAACTAGATTCAGGAATATCCCCCCTTTTTAGGTCATCAAAAGGGCCAGCACTGGCTCCCTCATTTGGGGGTGTGTAGGATGGTTAGGAAGGAATCCTATTATTCATCCAGTAAACATTTATTGAGCACCTACTGTATGCCTGATACTAAACTGGGTGATAGAGATATAACAAGGAGACATGACAGACTGAGTCTTTGTTCTCCTGGAGCCCAGAGTTTAAAAACAAGGTGTTTTTTTCTGTGGTTTGTTTGGTTTTTTGTCCTTGACTGTAATTTTTTTTACTTTTATTTAAAATTTTCTTTTACTTTTTCAATTACATTTGACATACAATATTATATTAGTTTCAGGTGTATAACCCAGTGATTGGACATTATATAACTAAGTGATCACCCCAATAAATCTTTTTTTAAAGATTTTAAAATTGATTTTTAGGGAGAGAGGAAGGGAGAGGGAGAGAGAGAAACTTCAATGTGAGAGGGAAACATCGATCAGCTGTCTCCTTCATGCCCTCCACCAGAGATCAAAACCACAACTGGGCATGTGCCCTGACCAGAATAAAACCAGCAACCTTTTGGTGCATGGGATGACACCCAACCAACCAACTGAGCCACACCGACCAGGGCAACTCCAATATATCTTGTATCCATCTGACACCATATATAGTTAATTACAATATTGTTGACTATATTTCTTATGCCCCCTCCCATCTTTCAAAAACCTAGTCCTTTACTCCCCCCCACCCCCCAACCACCAGGTTCTCTGTGTAAGACAAGTATTCTTAACTCTTTGTATACATGGATCTGTTTGATGGTCTGGTGAAACTTATAGAACTTACTTCATAAAATACTATCTTTTAAATGCATAAAATAAAATACCTTTGGTTACAAAAGAAAGTGATTATATTGAAATATAGTTATTAAAATATGGCAAAAGCAAATATGTGCTATAGTAATATATGTGCTCCTCGTTAATTCACTAAATCATAAGATCCAATGGAGGGTCTAATGACAATCATGATTTTAAAATAGAGATTGCATGATATTTCAAAAGATCTGCGACATTATTTTGAACTGCAACCACTATAATGTGCTATGAAAAGCTCTGTGATTTCTGTTGGTGACAGTCACAAGTAATTGTGACTAATGTGGCTAGTTACATTCTTTGCTGAAAAAAAAAAAAGAGCTAAATTTCAACAAGAGGAGAGTGAAAAATAAAGATGTAATTTTTTTCCTCATACAAATTCATGGGCCACTCCAAACCCTGTCCCCAGACTCAATTGGAGGTCTGTGAACCCAAATTAAGAACATTCCTGTCTCTCCTTCCTTCTTAAACAGCTATCGTTTGGAGGGCAGAAGCCTGGGTTTTATTTTGGGTCTTACTGCTGTGTACCATCATGCCAATCAGTTTGCCTCTCTGGGCCATAGTTCCCTCAGTCTGAAACAATGGGAAAAGCAAGAATTGGGACAGGAGACCTTAACTATTAATGTTCTGGGAAATTACTTTATATTCTTTCATTCAAGCCTCACAATGATAGTATCAGGTGAGATTTTTATTTATTTATTTTAAAAATAATTCTTTATTGTTGAAAGTATTACACATGTCCCCTTTTTGCCCCAATTGACACCCTCCAACCAGCTCCCACCCCCCACCCCAGGCCCTCAACGCCCCATTTTCTGTGTCCATGGGCCATGCATATATGCATACAAGGTTCAGGTGAGATTTTTAAAAAATTTAAATTCTTTATTATTTAAGTATTACATATGTCTCCTTTTCCTCCCTTGACCTCTCCCGGCCACTCCCACCCCCAGCACATGCTCTCACCCTCCTATCTGTGTCCATTGGTGATGCTCATATGCATGCATACAAGTCCTTTGGTTGATCTCTTACCTGCTCCGCCCCCGCCCCCCTCCCCCACCTTTCAGGCGAGATTTTTAAACTGTCTTCCCATTTCACTGATGAACTGAGGCTCCTAGTGAGGTTATCACTTGACCAATGTCTCAGTAAGTAGCAGGGGCTGGTGGGTAACTGGCCACACCCTCATAACCCCTTCCTCCTCCATGGATGAAATTAGGAGCTACGCTCATTTTGAGCGACAGAAACCTAGCTCGGAAATCCCTGCAGTGAGGGTAGAGCTATAGGAAATTCCGGCCAGTGTCGTGTCTCTTAACCGGGCAGTGGTTTATACAAAAGGACTTCCAGAGTAAGATGTTAAGAAGACAGGATTGCCAGGCTGGTGTGGCTCAGTGATTGGGCATCGACCTATGAACCAGGAGGTCACAGTTAGATTCCCAGTAGGGGGAGTGCAGGAGGCAGCTGATCAATGATTCTCTCTCATCATTGATGTTTCTATCTCCCTCTCCCTTCCTCTCTGAAAACAATAAAATATGTATTAAATTAAAAAAAAAGAAGCCAGCCCTAGCTGGCTTGGCTCAGTGGATAGAGCGTCAGCCTGCGGACAGGGCCCCAA